CAGGCTCTTGCTGGTCATGAACAATCATTTTGCACTTTGATGGTGCAAAACGTATACCATACCCGCATACCTCTATCGTCAAGTGGTTTAAAGCGTATTGGACTGGATGTACGTTGTCACCCAGCAAGGCGATATCGTCGGCATATTTTAATTCAAATCTTTATTTCTTGTGAGGAGTTCAACTTCACCGTTTGCTAGATCGGAAAGAGCATTATTTATACCACCCACTATGGCAAAGTTGAATGGGAATTTGGAGATAGAGCAGCATGTCGAACTCCACTGGAAACTGTGAGAGTTGGTCATGGGCCCTAGCTAATATGAAAACAAGGATAAAACGAGGAAGACATTAGCTTACTATATGGAGGAGGTGCACAACCCAGTTAACACGTCAAACCCAAAACGGTCATTGTCCTTTGGAAATTTTTCAACGTTCCATGATCTAAAATCTACTATGGACACCAAATTATAGCATGTTTACAAATATTTATCGTTTAAAAACTAGGAACGCCAAAGTATTTCAGTTCACTTTCACATACTCATTTTAGGATTTTCTCCGTCCGATGATAGTGGAAACGGCAGTTGAGTAGGTAAATGATTAAATACTATTATTATTATTATTATTATTATTATTATTATTATTATTAGCAATAGTAGTAGTAGCACAACTACTGTGGTCCATCTTAATCCCCACGGTGCCTCAGATTCTTACGCCGCTTATAAAACTTGATGTTGGCCAACCGAAACGTATCTGCTATAGGAGGGTGTGGAACGGAGCAGCGCGATATTCTAAGCCCTGCGCACAAATAGTTATTGGACGTACACAAAAGGGAGTGGTCCAAAGTGATTTGTACCATTTTCGTTCTCAGCGCCTCGAATGACCTCGAATTTGGACAGTGTGAAGTGAAACGGGAAACGTTTCGATCACCTCCACTAATTACCGTGTGAGCCTTATCAAGATGTGAAATAACCTTGGCAACGATCGAATTTCTAGAACGCCCACGCGTCTTCAGACCATCGTGAACGACACGTTTTCATAACTATCCCATAGTGTGATTTGAGCAACAATTCGTGCAATGAACTGAACACATCATCACTGCAGCAAGCGAAAATGACTTGGCGCTACGTCCGTCCACACATCCCCCTCTAACCCGGATGGACTTCAGATAAGGCTGGTTGATACTAGCAGTTAATGTATCACCGTAATGTGCTCTGCTCTCTCGAACAAGGGAGGGAGGGACGTTGCTGATTTCTCGCAGTGGTAGACTTGTCTAGCTCAGTTTACAACACCGTTACAAAGAGCACAAGTTGATTTTGTTTATTAGTTCCATTTCGATGGAGAACAGCTTAGTTTGGCTCAGTCTGAAAACTGGCATCACATCCCCAGATAGAGCATGGAGTAAGATGCGCGAACTGATCATTCACTACAATTTAGACCAGTTCGGTCATGTTTCAAACGATTACAACATATTCAAGAGGAGGGGGTCACCCTCAAACTGTTAACGAAAAGGTGACAAAGGGAAACACTCTCCTCGTATAGTCCCGTTGGAGGTGTCGGGGTTTCGAATAGAAGTAGTATGTTTGTTTGCTTATTTGAACAACCATTAACCATGCAGTTTCAGGCAGCGATTTTCGTTGCTGTCTTTTGGTCGTCCATTTGGATGAACATTAGGGGAGAGACAGGAAGGTTGACAGTAAAGTGGAATGTAAAATGCTAATTCATTGCGAGTTTGGCAGCGACCAGTGAAGTTCACTTCACTGTATTTCGCTGCGCAATAATGATCATGATGTAAAATGGAGAGTTTCAGTGGGATAAGGTTGCAAAGAAAGTCAGAAGATATACGAACCCCACTGTTTATGACACCCGCCATATCACTTAGTAACCCTAACCATCGGTTACGATTATCCCGAGCTCCCCATCCAGGGAGCCTAACAGGACCTATGTGACCCAGACTCCTTCTTAGGGCTATCATACCCTCGGACCAGGTCTTAGCTTGACCACTTTTGGCTTTTTTCTACCCACTACCTGCCTGGGCAACCCTCGCTCGCCGTGGCAACCTATCTGGTGCCATGCCAAACACTTGCTCCAGTGGGTGACCGTGGTTGCCTAAAACTTTTCGCCTGACCTCAGCATTGCTCGTCCGGCTGCTCTACCAGATTCGTGCATTGCCACGTAGATAGCGATGTTCAAACACCGACAGTCTATCTTTGTCCTGTTTTCTTAATGGCCAAGTTTCTACTCCATATAGCAGAACTGGCCGAACTACTGCCGCATATACTCGACCCTTCACAGACAGCGGGATGTCGCGACGGCGCCACAGATGTTTCAAGTTGGCAAATGCCAATCGAGCCTTCTGTATGCGAGCTGACACTTCATCCGTGATGCGTCCACCGGGTGAGATGTCGCTGTCTAAATAACAAAACTTATCAACCTGCTCTATTACTTCTCCAGTAAGAGTGAGACTGGGTGCTGGATCAATCCAGTCTTGTAGCAAAATTTCACACTTCGAAGGTGCAAAACACATACCGAACACGACTACACTCAAACTATCCAAAAAAGCTTCCAATTGACCTGCATCTTCACTTAGTAGCACAATGTCGTCTGCGTACTCTAGATCAGATGGTCTGCCACCTGGGAGTAAATCGATACCGCTATCCTCGCAGGAGGATAGCACTGTTTCAAGAATTAGATCAATAACAGTTAAATAGAAACGGATAGAGAGGGAAACCGTCTCGCACACCACTTTCTGTGGTGAACTCGGGCGAAAGAGTTCCGTAAGATTGGACTCGATTTCGGCTATTAGTATAAAGGAATTGTAATATTGAAATAAACTTCTCAGGCACACCCTTCAGAGAGAGAGGTAACGCCAGAGTTTAGAGCGGTCGACTGGTTCGAAAGCCGAAAGTCCACGAAAAGAATGTTTATCTTCGAGAACTTGGTGAAGAGCGAAGATGTTGTCGATACAACCTGGACCAGGTCTGAAACCAGTCTGGTTCTCACGCGTGAACTGTTTACGTGCGGCAGACAATCGACGGAGTATGATGTCAGGGAGGATTTTTGCGAAAAGTTTATTCCCTGTGTTGTTTTTACAAGAGGATCTGTCTAGTAGAAAGAATTAGAAGCATATTCAGCTTCCTCGGTCTTCACGATTTGTCCAACTCTCACCTGTGACTCAAGGAGGCTTAGACACACCCTGGTTAACTAATCGAAAAGTAGAATCAGTTAGAGGATGAGTAATCGAAGGCGATGTACGACACACGAAGACATCAGCTGTTACTGATTGGGAGGACTAGATCTGCCGTCTGACTCAACAACCATAAAAATGTCTGTCAACCTAACATGGATTCATCAGTCCACTAGCTGGATCCGCCTCAGTTAAACGGGGTCCTAGTGCGCCATGGGCAGTTATGAACCAAAGTACCGCTATTTCGCTTTTTGCATACGGTTGCACAAAGGCTAGAAGTTCTTCCTCACAAAATCCGGTTGATGCTGGTACCAAACTCGGACGATACTTTAGGGTTTTCATTAAACCCGCGAATTCTCTCCAAGGAGCCAGTCACTCTACCCTGATCACCAGATCCTGTTGATAACTGGATGTTGATTCAGTTGAGACTGAACGTGGTGCATAGTACATCCGTGCACATGCTTAATTTAGAATTAATATTCTGTGTTGCATCTCTAAATCTACCGAAACCAGACTGTGGATTTTGTAAGTAAATCAGATGAAATTAATTTAGATAGCATTACAAAGGACGCATAACGAGAAGTGCAGAATCTACTCATTATAAGTGCCACTTCAAACATTAAAGGTCTACAAGCGAGCAGAGCAAATTTTAATTATATAACGAAGTCCTTCCACTTTACCAAGATTGACTCTTAAATGTGGTAAGGATTAAATATTGCAGCCTGTTTTAGAAATGTCCCGGAGAAGTCCTACCAATTACATTTTCCAGGTCGATTGAGGTTACGAAAGTTCAGTCGTCAAAATCATCGTCCGTCGTTTCATTCCCTTCCATTGTTCTCCAGAACGGATTGAGATGAAGCCTTTCAATTTGATATCCAGCTACCGTCACCTCCTCTGAACAGGTCAGAAATGAAAGATAACATTGCCTCTATCTCCTCCGATTAAATAAATTTAAACTACTATATTTGCCCAACTAAAAAGGTGTAAATGCAGCGGCTGTCGTTTGTACATTGAATATGTGATATTCACAACCTCATAATCGGTAGTTATCTAGTTTGTTTTTGTCTCACCGAGAGCTTCAAATTTCAATATTTCCAAACAGTTTCAACAAAACCAACTAATCGATTTATCGGATTCATCTTGAGCAATTTCTGTCTGTCTGTCTGTCTGTATGTATATACGTATCTGTGCACGTACGTATGTATTTGTGTTTTTATGTATCTCTGTCGCTGGTAGCTGCCTCATCAAATGATCTAGGATAACAAAAATGGTTCCAATGAGCGATTGGTTCCCGTTTCCATCTCCGACTGATTTCCTACGACCGTGAAACCTGATATGTTACCAAACGGGAGGGCATTCTACTATGTGTTTAAATGCATCTGTATACCTTTATTCTCATTTTAAAAGCATATCAACTCATGCTAGGATTTCCATCGCTAGTTTTGGAGTGTTTGCACATGTATGTATACAATGACGCCGTTATCAATTTTGAGCCTAGGTTTATGGAAATCATCATAGAGATGCCTCATGCGGCACCGGGATTTTTATCCTTTCACGTATGGATCTTCGCGATACACGAAGAAATCACGCGTGCGATCTCTTTTTTTTGCTTAATCCATTGATCTTCGAATGATTCATCGACACGCTCTGCGCTCCACTCATCAGCATTCACCACCTATCCGACCTTCACTAGTTCTCACGGTGTATTGTGAGCCAAACTGGATGCTTTTCATTTGATACAACTCTCTGTTTGTGTCTTTTCATGTATCTCCGTTCGTCACCGTGACATTGTGAATGCTTTTCTTCTTGACGTTCGTGATGATCACCGTGGTGGTCATCGTCGTGGTGAGGGGTGAGGTTGTGAATGTCCGTTCGTGTTTTGTGAATAGACTGCAATTCTTGGAACAAGTATGTGTGTGCACTTGCGCGTGCATGGGTGTTATATTTGTGCGAAATAAATATCCATTTGAGTCTCCCTAATTCTCACTCTACTACCCCCGTTTGGCACAAGACGTGTTGACGTGTTCAGTGACCAACTGTTTCGTTCACCCAAGGCTAAGAATGAAATCCGTCAAACTCAGGCAACCTGATCTTCACCTCCGTTCCATGCCCATGCATTCCCTTCCCGTGTCCCTCCTGTTTGCTTCAACTTTTTTTTATCTGCCTCCTCCGCCCCCCTCACCGACCACCACCACCCAATCCCCGGGTTTGTGAACTGATCAGTCGGTGGGAATTTGTAGTGGCACAGTCTAACTTCGACACAAGGATGATTTGAATCGTTCCGTGATTGACTGATCAATCGATCGACAACCTAGCCTGGTTCGAACTGCTTTAATGAAACAATCAAAATGAAATACGTCAACATATCTCACGTGTACCTCTGGCTTGTTTTGTGCCCGATAATGCTGGGAATCCAGTGGGCATAGTTATCTAAGACTGTGTCCATTACTGTTCGTTTATTCAGCCCTCATCTTCTGAAAACTATATTTTTAGCGATCCGATCAATGCCAAAGAAAGGGTTGCATAAGTGCCACTTCATTGATCCCCATTCCTCTTTTCTTTTCCGGAATAAATCATCAACTCTCATTGATGTGAAACAAAAACACTTGCCAACACTTTATTTTCACTAATCCTGACTCAGCCAGACCGAATAGTGTTTCGGAACTTTTGCGCCAGTTCCTACGGTCGATCTGTGTTGCTCCACAGGAATAGGTAAAGATGTCCGTGCAGAATAAGACAATGGAATCTCATCTTTGAGATCCCTCTACCTCTCTCTCTTTCCGACGTTCATGAAAAATGAGGTCATCCTAATGTATGTTCCATTTGCACCTCTTGGAACTCTGTCATTTCATGCTCCGGTTTCTCTTGCTGTCTTTCGGCTATAGCCCTCAAGGCAATCAACGGGGAGTGAGATTTGGTGAAGAGTGATCATGGTGTCATGATAACGATGCTGAGCGCACTTGAGCTACTGAATGTGCATATAGCATGTGAGTTGACACACGAGTGCCACTTTTTCTACACTCACCTCCTAACCGGGTTTTCCCGAGGTAACCTGTTTGACCAAGTCTACTCGTC